CTACGGGTCAAATTTTGGTAGAAAAAATATTTTGCTAAAACGTAAGCTGTTCGATGCAGTGTTTTATGCTGATTCCACATATCATGTTTATTTTGCATTACAGTCAACTTTTCATAGTCAAAATATGAAAAAATTCTGAAAAATTGCTATATAAAATGTTCTTGACGACCGCTGCTTGCAAAATCGAACACGGGAGGAAAACTAAATTAACCACTTTGTAGAGCAAGTGATGCTCTATAGAACTGCATATGTCACCTTTGTCGTTCATTCCAACTTTCTCATTGATTTTTTTAAACACTCATCTCCACTAAGTCAGCACAAGGGGCGCACAAAAAACCCATGAAAAATGTTTTGATTACTATAGATGCTAATGCAGTTTCTCATGAGGATTCCGAATATATCATTGGTTTCAAAATTTGAGTGAAGAATAGTGCACTTTCATCGGTTTTTCTGTTAAATGTCGCATTAGTTTTTGCAAAAAACTAGAAAAAGTGCTGATAGTATTTGACATATATCTTGGCAAAAACAAGGTCTAATTCTAAAATTGTTTTTACCAAAATGATCAGCGCAAAAAGTTCTAGAAACTCTGAAAGTTTCATTGGATTTGGACGTGGTCGCCGTATCGACTGGCGATTTCCCATGGATACACCCAAATATTCTGATAAAAATCAACAATACACGAAGAGTATGCGTAAACATGAAATTTCTCGAACACTTACGAGAGTAATGTAAGTAGTGTTTTCACTTGGTTAGTTACAATGGTGAAGAGTATTGTTCACAAAGTGTATAGATTTAAACAATCTCTTTGTGATTAGCAACAGTAACTTCATCGCCGTTCACGTTTTAAACGTCCAAGAATTACTTCAACAACTTTTTCAAAAAACTAATTCATGATAAATTGATTGTCAGCTTTATATACAGTGTTATAAGTAGAATCTATTTTCATGCTTGAATCAACACCAACTTCACCAAACGTGTACAAACGGTACAGAGTTAAAGAATGATTTCGAACATTTATGAATTCATTTCATTTTACAAAGGAATAACAAAGTGATTAATAAAATCAAGATATTATAGAACATTTTATCATCAAATCTTTATCTTTGAAATCATAAAAATCATCAACGTATTTTCTTGATTCTCCAAGACCAAGTCATAAATATTCTTATAATTGCTGGCAAACAGTTCCAGAAAAAAAGATCGTTAATAACTTTATTATTGTTTTCTGTAACAAAAAAAAATCGTAAATTTGTTTTGATCAAGAATGTCATTTTCATCTGTATAATAAATTAAATTACAAAATGCTGAAGACTCAATCACATAATAAAAAAAAAAACAACAAAGATTTTCTTTTTTTCAAATACAATTTTCTTTTATCTACATACTCTCAAAACATAAGAACAAATTTCAGGTTCAGCAAGATACATGAATGCAGGATGAGATTGATTTTCTCTCATCAAACACCTTGATAAATAATCAAAATTACCCTCTAAAACGAATACTTTGTTTTTCTTTCACCTTTATTAACCTTCAACAACACGTGGAGATTTCGTTAATTCACATATACCTCCAGTAGTGTATAATGCAATGATGTATTTCTTTATGTTTCAAAATAAAAACAAAAAATAACAATTTGATGTATTAACACGAATTGAAAACTATGAAAGAAATGAATAGTGTTTAATGTCATTCTTATACATTCTTACATATAGATAGTAATTGAAAATAACTTTGAGCTTAGAGCAAGCAAGGTAGTCCATATGAATATAAACAAAAATGCACATGCTTTTTTAATATCATGCTTGAATGACTAGTCAAACAATTGCAAGGTAAAATTGCTAGAAAAAAAAGTCGAATGGAAAAAACAAGACACTTTTTTAAACATCGTTGAATGACACATAGACTGATATATATTGATGTATATCTCTGTATTTATCGCACGAATAAAGTCTGTTAAGTAACATGTGTTAAACTATATTTAGCGTCGTGTTTAATTAAACATAAAACACAGAAAAAACCTGTTATCGACACTTATGTTCCAAGTTTTACAACAATAATGGCAAATACCGTTAGATTTTTGATGACTAATATAGTGAACAATGTTATTTTACCACCACTACAATATGGTGACGCTAATTCAGATGACTCTGAAGTCGAACAACAAACTGAACTGATGTATGAAGATAATACGATATGGAGAGCCGTACATGATGCAGACAAAATTGCAATTGATCGTCTCATAGATGCTAATCCTGATCTTATTAATGAAAGAGGAGCTGTTGGTGATTGTCCTATTCATCTGATATTTTTAAGTGGAACAGATATACATTTGGAAATTGCTCGAGATCTTATTCTACGCTTTCCAACGATGGTAACGCAAACTTATAATAAATCAGTAAATATAATTAGATTGATTTTTGTATCTGAATGATATATATATAAATTTTAAAGAAATATTATGGTGAGAATATTCTTCATATTGCAATCGCTAATCGTAATCCGACAATGGTTGAATGGTTACTTAGTAATGATCGTTTAGAGCCCTATCGTCAACAATTATTGACAGCAAGAGCTACTGGTAGCTTCTTTAAAATGTAAGCTATTTCTCGTTTATCTTTTCACTTCATATGTGTATTTAATAGAGGTGAAGTATCTTATTATGGTGAAGTTCCATTAGGATTTGCTTGTTGCACCGATCAATGGAATATTGTTGAAATCTTACTTAAATATGGTGCTGACATGGATGTGGTTAGTAAAGAAGAAAATATTGAATGTTACATGTGCAAAATGAAGAAGAAGAATTCTTTGAGCTAGAGATATCCGACACCAACTTTGTTTTTAGTTCCGATTTAGGCAAAACTATTCCAGAATTTATTTTTAGTGTCTAGAAACTTACTCGTTTAAAGTCATAAATTGTTTAACTATAATCTTTAGTTCTTATTAGCATATATTTTTTCGCATGCTGGCCTCAGTTCCGGCAGACTTCTAAACTAAGATCGCAGTTCCGCACTTGTCTAGTCTAGATATTGAACATTGCTGATTTCTAGTTAGATCTTAAATGAGACATTCCTACCTAGGTGAATGATTCCGGACTCCGGAAACATACGAACTTTTCTGGAAAGTTACTTGCATGTTTTATGAATTTCTAATATTCTCGTACATGAACCAGTTCACACATCTCGACTTGTGTAAATGATTAAACTGTCATTTGACTTCTTTATATTTATATCTAGACGGACAGTAATGGTAATACCATACTGCATATGCTTGTTATTTGCAATTTACCCGACATGTATACTAAATTCAAAACTCGTTGGATAGAGCAGAAGAATATGCATAATAACACAAAAATAACTGACTCGAAATCAACACAACCATCAGAATTATGGAATCGTTTAAATAAAGATCGCTTAACACCATTGACTCTAGCAGCTGATTTAGGTCAAGCTAAAATGTTATCATGGTTACTAGACGAACGTAAAAGAACACAATGGTCTTATGCTAATGTAACATGTGCATTACATCCTCTCAATCAACTTGATATTGATATTCATCCAGACGTGAGTTAAATTCATAGAAATATTTTTTATATAGTGTATTTCTATTTAAGAGAAAACAACGATCTCTTAGTGTACTTGAAATAATGATTAAAAATAATAATGCAGATTTAATAAATCCTACTATTGTATCTTTAATTGACAAAAAATGGAAATCTTTTGCTTATCCAATATTTGTTCGACGATTTTCCTTTACATTTCTTTATCTTCTTGTTTTTCTTGCCACAACAATGTTACGACAACCAAGATCAGACAAAGTAATTTAACAAAACATTTTGTTCAACTATGAAATATATATATATTTTTTTTTAGACAGTGAATGAACTTGATGAAAAAACAGGAATAACAAATGGCAAAAATTCAAGTGGTTTTGAATACTTACTCTATACAATCGGTCATACCATTGTAATAATAGGTGCTGCATTCCAAAGTGCATATGAAGTGCATGAAATTCGTAGGTTGGGTTTCGGGAATTATTGGAAAATTAAAGTAAGTAAATAATTGTTTTTGATTGAATTGATTTGTATACATGATTTAGGGATCTATTTTTCTTGAAAATTGTTTGGCACTTTCATTTTGTTTTTGTATTTTTACTTGGGAAATTCTTCGTCTATTTGGAATGCAACAATATGAAACTCAAATACTTGCTTTCGCTTCTCTTATTGGATGGAGCAATATGCTTTATTTCATTATGCCATTTCATTTTACTGGTCCATTTGTTATTATGATTTATAAAATGTTTTTCAATGATGTTCTTCGTTTTTTTATAATATATTTAATTTTTCTGACTGGCTTCGCACAATCATTTTCTATTTTATTCAATGAATATGGTAAAAATTTTTCGAACAATGAGTACTTCATTTATAGGGAAAATATTTTTAGAAAACTTAATCTATTATGAAATTATTATTCTGAATAAATGACTTTGATATATTTTAGGTTTGCAAGGCTATATGTCAAGTATCAAACAATGTTTTCTGGGTTTATTGGGTGATTTTGATCTTGATTATTATATTAAAGGAGAATATCCATTGACAAGTGTTATGTTACTTATTTTCTATATTGTACTTATTACTATTCTTTTGTTAAACTTACTTATTGCTATGATGGGTGATACATATGCAGATGTAAAAAAAAGTGCCAAAAAATTATGGTTTGTATTATTTATTTTTATTGTTTCTATTTTTTTTTATTACTTTACTTTTTTTCTTAACAAAAAAGGCACTTAGAACGAGCACGTATTGCACTTCGTATTGAAAATAACATGCCAAGATCTAAACGCCTGTTTAGGTTCAAAAAATATTGGGTAAATTTAAAGCGTGAACGTGAACATGGACCCGAACATTATATGCAAGTGATAGAAAAAGTGAACAATAAACAGTTTCAACTTACAGATAATGAAGAAAATGATGACGAATACTAAAAAAAAGCCCGAACAATTGTTTTTTTTATGCAGTCTTTCTCTTATTTATTTCTATGTACCTTATAATAAACAATATCAATTAACTTACTTTGGTATACATAATGTTTTCTTTTCATAATTTTTCAACAGAAAAATGGATTAATTTTCTAGTACAGAATGACCCAAAAGTCACTTTACATAGTGTTTCATAAGTTTTGATATACGACAAAGTTAAATAGTTTCTATACACATCGAGAACAATGTCTAACTGATATGTATTTATATCAGTTTTGGGTATTCTTAATAGTCTATCAAATGGTGTATTATTGGATAACATTTTCTCTTGTATTAATGAAAATATCAACATGCTTGTTTTTTCTAAATAATTTCTGATAAAGTGCTGAATATATTATATAAAATAAATAAAATAGCATATATGAATACCTAGTTTTCTTAGTCATTTATTTCATGCTCATGATATACGGGTGTGGGTGTGAAGTATGGGTGCAGATGTGCGTGTACTACTCATTAGACAACCACACCCACACTCAATAAGCAGCTGATTTAGCTGTCAAAGCAACTGAACAATTTCTGAATGATCTACGCTGAAATATAGATGATAAAAATTTTAATCGTCTTTTTGCTATTAGTGCAACTGAAAAACGATATCAACAAGCATCCGATTCCATATATCAAGGAGCACGATTTCGATTTTTTATATCAAGTCTATCAGCTCATTTATAATATGATAGTCGTTAGTGGATAAAATTGAAAAGATTGTTCAGAAAGTTTTCTAAATTAATTAAATCGATATGGATTGGTAGCTACCTTCTTTAGAGAAGAAACTGTCAATCAACCAACGTATAATCTCATAGTGATAAAGGAATAAACATGAAAGATATGAACAATTTTCGTGCTGCATCACATGTTATTGGAAAAGAAAACCAGAGACGCAAGAGACGTATGATAGATCTTGCACGTAAACGTTGATATATATATAGAACTGTTTTTGAAACATCTATTTACTTTAAATATTTCTGTTTATTATTATCCCCATATTTTTTTATTTATATTGTAACCCATTCGAAAAGTTTGAAATAAGATGGACTACGACAAAAAACGACTTGTAACAAGTAATGAACTATAGGATAACTTGTTGATATAAAATCATTGATAGAAAAATTTAGATACGTGTGCTTATTTGACGTATGTCCATGAATAATAATCATCGTCATGTTTTTCTTTTTGTTTGGATCATACAAATCGTTTTTCTTTCTCTAAAGATTCGTATAGTGAAGATGTTTAATTAATATTTCTAATAATATTAAGATAAAAACGATAAATTATTTTTCATCTTGATTTTCATTTTTAATAATCATCTTATTTCTCTATCGAACACTACTTTAATCACTCGTATTCATTGTTAAAATGATGATATGAAGAAAAAATGATGTTTCAAAATAAAACACTGATACTTTTTCATCACATAAATTAATAGCATTTACTGTAGTTATATTGAAGTCGAACATCTGTAGATAGTGAGGGAATAAAAAGAAAAAAACCAAGAAGAAATGATCAGTTTATGTTATGATCGAATATTAGTTACAAATTAATATTAATAGTTAGAGAAAAAACAAAAGAAAAATGATGGATATGTTTTTTGATATAGTGATGAGCATTTATGATTGAAAGTATTCTTGTTTTTCTTTATTTATACATGTTTATGATTATGATCATTGTTGTATAATGTACTTAAATTAATGCTTCTCAAGTCAACATATAAAGAATAACTTTTCCATTAAATTTTCAACGAATGCTCTGTGATATATCATAGTCTTCCAGTTTTTATATTGAATGTAATTGTAATTGAGTAGAAAATTGATATTACTCGTCAGTTTCAAAGAAATATTGATCATATAAGTCATGATCAAACATTTATTTGGACTTCTCATGTAAAGTTGTTACACTAACGTTGCCATACTAAATATCAGCCAGTGTACTGTTTGTTAGTTTGCTTTTTTCTCGCTCTTTTATTCTTCAGAAAAAGATACAGGTAAACTTTATCTTCATAACAATAAAAAGATTGCGAGTAATAAAGATGAGAAGAATAAGATAATGAAAAGCAAGAAAGAACAATACACATACATATATATTCATGTACATGTCCAAGAGAAGAAAGAAAATATAGGTCAAACATTCGTGAAACAGTTACAAAATCATATCACTGCTAGTCCGCTTTGCTTCATCGGGACAATTTGTTGATCGATGATATTTTAAAAAATTTTCTAAGTTCAACATACACAGTCGTCTAGGATCATACTCCATGAAATGCAATGGTTTACGTGGCTCTACATAACGATCATATGTCATCGTATTCCATACGAACAAATGTAATAAGTTGCGGAGGAAAAAAACAAAGTACTCACTTACTATTTTTGTACATGAATGTTATATACGGTCACGAAGATATGTCATCCTCATATTGACCTATACGAACATACTACGTAATCTAACATGTGTCGTCTTGTAAAAAGTCTTTCTCAAAGATAAAAAATTTATATTTTTCAACGTGTTCTTGAACATAATGAAGACAATCTACGAATATTATCACAATTGACAAATTGTATTTTAGTGTCAACTATTGAAGTATGAATCAGTTGTTGATCAACTTATACAGACTTCATACTCTTCTTTGCAGATCTATGCTACACTCACTATTCTATTCCTATAATCTAAATTACCATAGATAAAACACATATATACAGATAAACTGTTTCTAAATACAGAAAATCAGTGACACTGATTCGATTTATAGATTTTGTTTTATTCTCAAAAAAAAAGACAACATTATCATTAAAGTGAGAAACCGCTAAATTTCGCAGTGTTTGATCAGCACTCTTTCGTTAAAATGTTAGCAACAGTCATACAACTGACGTGAGTGGACTAGAATGATATGAGTTCTTAACTCATGGGCCTCTGATAAAAATAAAAAATGACAATAACTTCCTTCTATTTGACATGTACATATATGTAAATACATGTATGTGATGTTCCTAGGCGTCCAATAGTTAGAAAAAATTATCAAGTATTAGCAACATAGGAACTTGGTCCAACTGATACAATTTTATCTGGTTGAATATGAAATTCCCAATTTTTTTCTATTGATTTAACACGATCAAATGGAGCAGTAAGTACTAAATTTCCACATTGAATTTTCTTTATTGGTGCATAGCTTGTCCATGTTCCCATATTCAATATTACTTCCTTAAGTAAACGATATTCATTTTCCCGAATAGTAAATGATCTATATTTTAATAGACGTCCGTATGGATGAGACCGGACCACATAACACTGAATCGGTAATTTCTGTGTGTTATAGATAACAGCTGACTGAACAAAAGCTGGTGGTGGCCGAGCCGAAATTCTTGATGCAAGACATAAAGTAACAATAGCAAAATAGATCATTAACATGATTAATTGTATCTAAAACACCAAAAAAACAAAAAAATTACTGTCCATTGGCTGTAGAAATATCTATCAGTTGCTTGACAAATTCTAAAGTAGAAAAGAAAATATTTGTTATTTTAGAATGAAGCAGCAAAATTACTACAAATTAATGATTTCTTAAGTACGCTGTACTTATATGTTCCTACCGAACAATAAAATGAAACGGTTGGACGATAAAAAAAAAGCATATGATTAATACTTCTTAGCCTTCAAGAAAAGATTGAAACTTGAAAAAAAAATGAAAGACATGTATGAAATAATAAATTTAAAAGTGGAGGAATGTGTTTCAGCACATAGAAACATTTGTTTTTGAAATTGAAATGCATACGATCATTTTTGTAACTCTTCAAGAATAGTAAGGGATTGTGATTTAAATATACTGACATATGCCATTAACTTTGCCCACTTGATACTCTTTTCACGGTTTTCAAAATTTTGGATCTACGACAATGCTTATAGACTGAAGTCATACAAGCTCAGAAGGTTTCATTACATTCGCAAATACTTGATGTAAATGTCGCAGACTATCGACAGTATCATCGTCCACTAAAACAGATAAGAATATCATCTATACGAAAAACAAACATTTGTATCTTTACTCGTCTAGAAAAAAATATTTATATCTGTAGTTGTTTCTTCCATAGGACGGCATGGGATGGAACGATTTTTTTCATCCAATGCCATCCCAGACGGAGCCCTATTAAGTATTTCTGTCATTGTATCATCCTGTTATCTCTTGACAAGCCACCTTGTTATTTAACTGAAGATGATGGTTGTGGATTGACAATGTGTTTTTGATTAATAAGAAAAGAAATTGAGCAAAAAAAGACAATTCCATTTATTGTGAATACAATCAGATATGTTTTATAAAAATACCGTCGATTACTGATCTTATTCAATTTTGTTTTTTGGTTAATATAAAAATAAACTGTTTCATGTTCGATTCATGTGATGAAAAAGAAAAAGATTTTCTCTTATTGTAGAATTCTGCATGACTAAGAGGAGAATAAAAATTTTCAAACAATACCAATTGAACTATTTCATGAGTATGGTCTGTACTCTATAAATAAAAAAGCATCATAATCATATGGGTATAATATTTCATTTCTATCAAGCACTTTAATTCAAAATTAAGAATATTCTCAAAGAAACGTAAACTCTAAACGGTTGCCTTTGTGAAGACCATCACATGTTATTTTTCTTGTATTATGTTACTCAAAGTATCTTGAACTTGATTGAAATTAATTTGAGAATTATAGGAATTTTTTTTGGTGTGAATATTGCTAGACCAAGATCTAATATATGATTAGTCGATATAAGAAATCTTCAAATATAAAGGCAATGCACTCGATATCGATGGAAAAAATAAGCAAAGTCGATATTTTCTTTACAGATCTCAAGAAAATATTACCCAATCAACAATATAATTAACACTCTTGTATAATCTTACATCGTATAAAGATCAGTAATTTCTAAGTAATTCCTCTATGATGTTCACTACCAAATTTCTTTAG